TAACAGCCCAAGGAATGGCCCATATCAGCCTCATATCTTTATCTTGAAATAATGACCAGAGAGTAACACACTGTGCAAAACACTCCCTGAGAAGGGAACAGATTGAATTGCTGGGAAGGTCAGACTGATTACGAAAAAGAATCCTCAGATACTGCAAGAGCTGAGCTTCTGAAGACTCCAGAATGCTAAGATGAGGACTTCCCAAGAATGGCCAACAAGCTTCATTAGGGGTGTGAGGATTGTTAGTTCTAGGTTCAGGCTGCAGAATGAGACTTTGTCTCAAAAACCAAAGGAGAAAGGAAGGAAGGAAGGAAGGAAGGAAGGAAGGAAGGAAGGAAGGAAGGGAAGGAAAAAGACAAAAAAACCACTAAAGCAATATAAAACAAAAGAAAATAAACATAACAACAAACAGAACCCCTGCTTCCCCATAAATATGTAATGAATGTAACATATGACTGATTAGGTCACAAAGAAATAGAAACACTATTAAAATGTTACTGGAGTTACGAGCTCTTAAGTCTCAAAATATTTCTTAAAATGAAATTCAGAGGGCATTCAAGACCACTTGTGTAATAATATTGATGTAAAAAATGAGTTCCAGGCTACATAGTGTCAAAACCAAAATACAACAACAACAAAAAGATGAAGTCAGAGGTACTAGTAAAATAACACAAGTAAGTGCAGCTCTAACTATGTGAAGCATGGCATGTGCATCCACCTACACATCATGTGTGATGGTGGTATGCCCATGCATGGACACACACACACACACACACACACACACACACACACACACACACACACCATGTGCTCAAATAATAAACTAAAAGGTCTTAAATATTGGAGGTTGGAGAGATGGCTCAGCAATTAATAGTACTGGCTGTTCTTACAGAGGATCTGAGTTCAATTCCCAGCACCCACATGTTGCCTCTAACTGTATGTTACTCCAGTTCCAGGAGATCCTATGTCTTCTGGTTTCTGTGGGCCCTGCATGAACATGATGCATAGATATACATGCAGGCAAAACACTCACATACATAAAGCAATTTTAAACATTGAGAGAAAATGTTCAAAGTGTTTTATATCTGTTATGCACAGATGTCACATATATTACTAACAGCCAAAAAAAACTAATCTGGGTCCTACATGGATAGATATAAACCAAAAACAGTTAGTAGTAAAAAGAAAATTTTAACTTTAAGCATGCTAGAAAAATCAACTGAAATAAAAGCAAAAGTGTCATTTTACAGCAATAATAATAGCATATTATAACAGTCATCTTTTTGTTTGCTTGTTTTGAAATATAGAGTATGTAGCCCAGGCTGACCTCAACCTGGGGTCTCCCCTGCCTCAGCCTCCTGCTTGCTAGGATTACAGGCATGTGTCTTCATGCCTCATCATGCTCTACTTTGCATCTCTGTTGCTGTGATGAAACACTGACCAAAAGCAATATGAGGGAGGAAAGGGTTCATTTGGCTTAGGTTAGTCCCTCATCATCGAGGGAAGCCAGGGCAAGGGGCTCAAGGCAGAAACCTGGAGGTAGGAACTAGGGCAGAACCATGGAGGAACACTGCTTACTGCCTTCCATTTTAGTTGAATCCAGATCCAGTCAAGTTGACAACCATGCTCAGCCACCACACCTGGCTATAATTGCCATTATTATTGATCACCTGTTTCTTACTCTACTATATTCTGGCCAGAAGGACCAAGTCAAAGAAAAATTGTCACGTTTAGAAGAAAAACATACACAAACGTTTGGAACATTTGATAAGAGGCAAGTATTTCTACATGCTGACCCAGAGACTCTCAAGTCTGAGAACTTATCCCAAGGGAATTCCTTAAAAGAAAGAAGAAATAAAACAAAACAAACAACCCCACAAACACAAAGACAAGCTGTTTATAACAGATAGAGAACTATAAACATCTGAAATATTTTACAATAGAGATGGTCACACAGAAGGAAATATGAACCATTCAGCCATATACATTTAATTAGTTATGATAACTTCAGTGAAACAAGTCTTTAAAAGGAAGTATATATATATATATATATATATATATATATACATACATGCGTCACATATATATATTATATATATATATGAAAATTATAAATACTGGAAAGAATAGAACTGTGATGGGGCTCTGTATAAAAACTTTCTATGTATGAGTGGTTTGTATGCATATGTACTATATAGATGCTTAGTGTTGGAGGAGGCTAGAAGAGGGTGTTGGCTCCCTGGAACTAGAGTTATAGACAGTTATGAGCTGTCATGTGGTTGCTGTTCCCAGTAAACCTATGTCCTCTGCAAGAGCAGCAAGTACTCTTAATTGCTGGGCCATCTCTCCAACCTCATGTATAGAAAATCTTAAGATTTTTTTCTAGTGTTCTGATAAAAAAAATTAAAAGTGAAGAAGTACACAGTTAGAAGGATACCTCTAATATGGTTAATGTTTTTGTGTATTTGTGTGTGTGTGTGTGTGTGTGTGTGTGTGATTTATACCTGTGTATGTGTAGAGAAGGTAGAGGAAGATGTTGGGTGTTCTTGCTCTGTCATTCTTTGCCTTACACCTTGAGGTTTCTGGATGTAAGCTGACAGCCAGCAACCACACCAGTCCTCCTGTCTCCATTCCTCACAGCTCTGGTGTTACTAGCTTGTATTGTGGCCACAACTGGCTTTTTATCTGGGTGCTAAGGACCCAAACACAGATCCTCATGCTTATAGAGTAAGCACTCCTACACGTGAGCCATCTTCCTACTTCCAAGATGGTTTGTTTGTTTGTTTGTTTGTTTGTTTGTTTTGGCTTTTAAAGACAGGGTCTAGCTACATAGCTCTAGCTTTCCTGGAACTCATTCAGTAGACCAGGCTGACCTTGAACTCACAGAGATCCTCCTGCCTCTGCCTCTGCCTCCCAAGTGCTGGGATTAAAGCATTTACCACCACACCTGTCTCAAGATGGTTAATTTAAAAAAAAAAAATAATTCAGTCCTTTAAAAATGTTTTCCTGGAGATTTTACCCCTGGGAGCCTTTAAAATTCTGAGTGGGTATTAGTCATTGCATTTCAGCCCAGAATTTTTCACTCCCCAGTGATACCCAGAATAATCTTATGTGGCAGTTTATAAGATGACTGACACCACCCATGGACAGTGTGAGAGGGAGTAAGCCTTTCCAAAGGTGTTCTCTGAAGCCTGGGACCCACTAGTGCTTACAGGCGAAAGGCAGAAGTTTCCAGAAAGTGGTCTTGCAGTCACTGTCCTGCTCCCCATAAGCTGGCTTCCTCTGGATTAGTTTATCTAAAATAAAATGAACCTAAAATATGTTTAGAATGGCTCTTGGGGTCGCAAAACCATGTGATGAAGTCAGTAGTTCTTTGGGCCTCAGTTTCCCTAACAGTAAGACGAAAGCAAACCCTGCCTCTTAGTTTTCTGGGAGAAGATTAAATCTGTGTCCCAACTGCAATACACTAGAGAGAATTTACTGGGATGACATTAAAAGAAGTGGGATGAAATCTTGGTGGACTCCGTTTATGTGAGGGAACTAGAGAAGGCACAATCCACAGAAACCAGAAGTGGAATGGTGGTGGCGAGGGGCTGGGGGAGGGGCAGGCATGGGCAGCTGGTGTCATTGGGTGTGGAGCTGCAACTGGAGAAGATGGAAAGGTTCTGTGCATGGACAGTGGTGACAGCTGCACAATATACCATGACAGGACTTAAAGCCACTGAACCACATGTCAGAAATGACTAAAATGGTAAAGTAGTACCATGTATATGTTATATATAACATTATATACATCACCACTTAACAAATCAGTAGATACCAACAAAAACAAAGATAAGATGTGAACAGAAATACAAAATGAGCGAGGAAAGGAGGAATTTTAGAGCAGGTAGACTTACCACTGCTTTACCCACAGGTACAATGGTTCAGAGGGGAGGGGTGACGGCAACAGAGCATATACAAAGCATAGAGGCAAGTTGGTGAGTGTCCAGGGGTACATGCCTGGGGAAAGGGGAAGGACAGAGAGCCTGCCCCTCAGGAAGCATCCCTCTAAACACATTCATTCTCCTCTGACCACCATGATGCATTCTGGTTATAGGTTGCTTTTATGCATCTATCTCAGAAATTCCTCTGTGAACTCTTTCACAACCTCATCCATTTGTTCATTCACAAATACTTATTCAGGGCCTATTAGTGCCAGGCACCGCTGTAAGCATGTAGCCTACAGTATGTGTATAGACACACATGTGTACACGTAGACTAACCCCCAGACAGATTCTGGCTCTTGGGGCCTCTAGGGATCTTGGCATGTACCAGGTGTTCTTCTAGGCACACTGTAAATACAATTTAATTCATGTACTCTTCTTGATAATCTTTAAGGCAACTATGACAGCCCTGTGCTATAAGGTGAGGGTGCAGATCGGGTCTGGTGAGGCCAGGCAGCTTGTTCAGTCAGTAGCAGAGCCAGGATGAACAGCTGTGGCTCACACTGGAGCATCAGTGAACTCGGAAAGAACAGAATAAGGCAGGAACAGGGAGGATCCTTGCCTTATTTTTAGAGAAGTGTGGTAGAGTGTGGGGGGATGGGGTGGAGAGCAAAGCCTTGGAGGAAGGGATGTGTAGTCACCCAGTAGGGCAGGGATGGGTTATGGACTTTGTGGTGGCAGCAGATTAGAAAGAGAGAGCTCTGGTGGCTCGAAAAGAGGAACCTATCTATTTGGGTGGCTTCCTGGGTGTGAGGGGAAAGGCAATGTCAAAAGTTCAGGCCTGGGGCACTTTCCAGACCCACTGTCACTAACAGGGCTTGAGGTGGGGTGGCAGGAAGGAGACAGACGTGGGCATGCTCTACCTCAGTGGGCTACTCAGTGGGCTTCCCTCACTCATGCACAAATACTGATGAGAAACCTAGTGTTCACATGTAGAACGCCCTTGACTTAGTAGGCTAACTAGTCCTGCTTGGGAGGGCAAGCAGGGAGGGCAAGCTGGCCCCAGTAACCTACCTTTGTCCTGCTCTGCAGCTTCACTCAGTTCGGGAAGCTTGAACCCCACCAGGTTCTGGTTTCTCATCATGATGTGTTCCTTGGCGAGAAGAGGAAGAGACACAGTTCAGACGACGACGACACCAGACTAGATTCTTCTTTGTTCCCTAGTGGCTCTGTTATCACTCAGCCTTAGATGAGTTTCTAAGGACAGCGGCCAGAGTGAGTGAATTGCCATGACAAGGTATGTGAGGCCAGAGGAGCATAAGGTCCTCTCCCAGCCCATAAAAGGTCCTGTAGTCTCACCATTTCTGCTACACTCATTGTGTGAAGAACTACCTCCGACATGACTTTCTTGTTAAAGATGATCTGGGCCTCAGGAGAAGTGAACTGCCGAGGCTGACTGTGAGGGAAGTGTGTAGGGACTATGTAGGCCTTGGTGGCTTTGGGGACAGTGTGGTCCTGGATATGAATGCAGCTGCTTTTGGGAGCAATTCTTGAAGCATTCATGGCTTCCTGCATGCTCTTCTGTGTGACACTCCTTCCTCAATGGCCTTTATGGCCTGAGAGTCCCTGCCTGGGGGACTGAGCAGGCACAGCTAGGTTGACGGTGTTGGTGGACCCAGTAGGCCATCGCTCCAAGCCAATTCCTGTCAGACTAGGGCCCTCTAGTGGGATGCCTGGGTTCTCTCCTGGTCCCTGGTACTACCCAAGGGTTTTCATCCTCCCAGGTGACAGAAGCCACTTGAGTGAATGGCCTCTGTGGAAAAGAGGAAAGAAAGAGGCCAACAGAGAGTACTCAGGATCCAAACAGAACCCAGGCCATGTCCTTGCTGATATACTTAACAAGCCAGAGGTCCAGAACCCCTCAGCTGTCAGCACACTGGACAGGGTGCAGAGTGTGTGCTCAGTTGCCAGGCCAGCTGGTGGCATGAGCCTCCATGCTCTCTGCAACTCCCTTTGCTGAGCAAGAGTGACCTGCAGGGGTAAGGGGAGTTCTGGGGGGAATGGCTTACTCTTCCAGCATTTGAAGTCCATGAAGGTGATTCCCCAGATGCCTGCCCCTTCGTTTCCACTTGCCTTCACAGATACAGGATGTGGCTCACTGTGGGTGGCTCTGCCTGGCCTTGTTCTAAGCTACCTGGTACCCTGGGCTCCGAATTGGAGGCTGGGGATTCTATGTGAATTGTTCATCTTCCTAAGCCTCCATTCCAAAACATCATAGAAAATTATGATTTTCTATCTGTCTGTCTATTTACCTATCATCTATATTGATCTCTGACTGGTTTCAATGTCACTATGTAGCTGAACATGACGTTGAATTTCTGATCCTCCTGTCTCTGCCTCTTGGGTGATGGTATTACAGGCCTAAGCTATCACCACACATGGTTTTATATGATTCTGAGAAGCCAGGGTTTTGTGCACACTGGTGAGCATACACTCTACTAACTGAGCCACTTTCTCAGCCTGCAGATGCTCTCTGACCAGCACAGAGGCCTGTTAGGATGTGTTCTTACTAGCATAGAATTCTCATTTGAGCTGGAGCATCACAGACCCTCGCTTCCTCCCTCACCCTCCCTCCCTCAGTAGAAGAGCCAGGGGACTTGGTCCTACTCCAGGCCCTAATCTATAGGACCCCAGTCTCCTTGACTGGGAACATTGTTGGCCTTCTGAGAGAGAAGGGACTGGATCAGGACTTTTCTTTTTTCTTATCTAGCTAATCCCTCCCTTTTACAATCTGGCCTCCTCGTGCTCCTCCACAGTCACTCATTGTATAGCAGGGCAGCCCCTTGACTGACCACTGTTTCTAGTTTGATGACCAATGGAAGTTGAGGATACCATGGACACTAGATGAAATCCATCATGGAAAAGAAGCCACTTAACTCTAGCCCCCACCCCCAACCCCTAACCCCTACCCCCTAACCCTAACCCTAACCCTAACCCTAACCCTAACCCTCTAAACCTAACCCTGACCCTCTAGCCCTAACCCTCTAACCCTAACCCTAACCCTAACCCTCTAACCCTAACCCTCTAACCCTAACCCTCTAACCCTAACCCT